CCAAATTACAGAAAAGCGCCACGTAGCGGAGGGTATGAAACGCACTATCTGGGCCGCGAATCGGCTTCAGTGTCCTCTCTTTACGTTTACTATATTACTCTATGGGTAGGGTATTCAAAATGAATGGTAAGTACTTTTGAGAAAAGATTTGAATTGTAGCAAAAATGTAAGTCTTTCACCCTAAAAGATGCCATCTGTGTATTAAAAAACTGGGTACACAAGTTTTGAAACTTTTTATATTATGGATTTTGTTAGTAAATGGTGTTCCTGTGGTACTTCAAGCTACTACTGCATACCATCCAACAACTACACATCAGAAACGAACACAAACAGCATGAACCACTGAACACCGGAATAACAGTCCCGTTGACTGCTCCACAGCCTTACTTAGCCTACATATTGAAGGTAATCATTTGGCCGGTGACCACCTCTGCACTTCTTAAGTTTCCAAGTATTCGAACTTCTCCTCGGGGGTCTGTCAAAAAGAAAACAGTGTTTTGATGTTCGTGGGCGTTATCTCTTTCAAGAAAGCGTTGGTACAACTAATAATAATTCGGCTCCGTCGCTAAAACAACCTCCACAAAATCGACTCCTAAAAGAAATGTTATCGCTTCTCTGCATTGCGCCACTCAGAACAATGCGAGTCAAAGCAGTTTCTGCACTTTGAAATAGTTATTGTGCTTTTCTATAATGATTCACTATTTAATGTGGTCGTTAAAGTCACTAAGTCATTAAAGTCAATATACGAAAGTCACTACTCACATCACATACAGTGGTGAGTATACACATTCAGCGAGCTAATATTGTGCTGAAAGAACCACGCCAAACCTATCTGCACACAGCACTTTCTGAAGCTTCGCAGCATCAGCAAGTGTTGTGGTTGTAGTTCCCGAATCCCGTTTGTGATTGGTGTGCAACTCATCAGGTGCATTCTTGATAGAAAAAAAAACAACAATAACATAAACTGGACTGATTTATTAGTGCGATGCTGCACCACTCACTTGACAAGCTAATCAAATGTTTTTATGCACTTCAGTGTTCTACACATCTGCTTGAAGTAAACCTCTGAAAAACAAGCTTTTCAATACCTTGGTAGTTTCTGTCAAACTACCAAAGTATTGCAGTCAAACGATACTTAGAATATAACACAAGCATATTTACGATTTCCATGTATTTTAAGAATATTCTGCAGACATTTTTGATCGCTACATTTTTATTATGGTTGGAGAATATTTTGCATGAAATAAATTAACACTTTAAGAAATCTATGTGAAAGGTATTTTGTGGCTACTAATTTTTTTTTACCTATTTCAAAACCGCATGAAGACTACTTTAAACGTAGTTTGAATAAAGGGATTTTAAAACATATTTTCAGAAATTTATTTTAGTAATAAGGAAAAAACAAAAACGGAAGTGTACATTTTCGGTATATATTTTGCGAACTTACAATTACGAACTGTGCTTGAAATACACTCTAAACTAGCTAAAACGTGGTATATTTCAAAGGCCTTAATTTTCACTAAGGTATGTTCTATCAAGAAATAAATAAACTTCTTTGGTGATTTTGCTGAGAATAATGAACGTTTCTAAAGTCTAAAACTGTCCGAAACGTTTGTCAATCTTTGTAAATATTGGCAAGGCATTATACATTCGTCCGGGCAGGTTGCAGTTTAATTTTTCTTGATAAAGCACCTGGTAGGGGAGAGCAGGGTAACGCCGCAGCTTATCGGGAAATACTCGCCACTCATGATATTTTTCTTTCCCTCTAAATTGTGGTGCCTACCTCGCATGGTTGACTTAACGCTACGTTACACTCAAACGTTTAGCCGGCGGCGTAACACAGCACCCACAGACACTCATCGGTTGCCGATATTGTGTTGCAGCTCAGCGGCCAATGAAAGACGCACATTTTGCGCTAGGCTGCTTTCGCTGTGCTCAACGTTGGAGTATAAAGGCTAGTTCACATGGCGCGTTTTTCTCCGGGTCTGCGTGGCGTATGCGCCTGCGCTTTAACGCCACTTCCGGCGCCGGGACGAAACGCAGCGTTTTTAGGCGCATTCCGGCGTATCTGGAGGAGCCAGATACTTTGCTTCCAGGCGTCGCGTCTCCGGCTGCGTCCAGAAGGCAACAACCAATGAACGGCCGTGTTCACTAGTTGCAAGTAGCGTTTGAGTTTTCGCCACTGTAGGACTGTAGTTTTCTCCACAGACCTTGCGACAATGGCGATAATAATAATAATAATAATAATAATAATAATAATAATAATAATAATAATAACAATAGTAATAATAATAATAAAAATAAATTTTATTTGCACAGATTGCCATAACCACTTGGCAGGGTGCGAGGCTAGGCAGAAAGGTTGATGAGACCCTTACACAGGTGCGCTGCTAGCCCGCCGCCAAGTAGGGAAAGGGATACAGGAGAGAAAAATAAATACAAACACTCAAAACGGAAAGATACACGTGCAAAAACGGGTAACAAACCTGTGCCATTCCAAGGCAGAGCGCGCGCGCTCACACACACATACGCGCGCGCGCGCGCGGAGTTTACAAACTTTGCACGCCCGCGGCCTTCAATAAAAACGGCTTAGGCCCCGCCAACACTCGCAGCAGGGCGAACATGGGTATACTCCGCGACAACTTTTCTTGGCAATGCAGTGGAAAGTACAGGCCCGCGTCCCCTTTCCCAATTTGTGTGTGCGCGAGCTCTCCTCCTCTCCCCGGAAATGGGGGAGGAGGAGAGCCTGCGTACACTCAAAATGGGAGAGGGGACGCGAGCCTGTACTTTCCACTGCACTGCCAAGAAAAGTTGTCGCGGAGTGTATTTACGTCCTTTCCCCTGCGGACATCAGTTTACCGTACCTTTTGCACAAGTCCAGGGACTCCTCCCCACTCCGCGGGAGAGGCACACGCTCCCTCAGCGGAACAGAGAGGAGTTAGCGATGTACAAAAACGTCATGCACTCTGGCAGGCGGAATGTAAAGAATACAAGGCCACCGAGAGACAAAGGGACAAAATTAGTGCTATCGGCAACAACGCATCCTCTGCAGTGGCCAGCTGTAAAAATGTTTCGGCGCGGGAGGTGGTGATGCCGATGTCATACCGAAAGGTAGATGAGGCGTACGCACTAAAAATGATGAAAATGAGTGAAATTCAGCTTTATTGTAATTGCTGTAAAGAAAATGCGTGCATACAATTAACAAAACTAAGTATTACGGCATGTAGCCATCATTAACGCGCGATATCTATTTAAAATTTGCTTTTGTTTCTTAAGCGCGCCTGGCTACGTTGGGCAGACGCTTCGGAAACGCAGACGCGAGGCGCTGCCCGGTAGCGCTGCCTGTGGTTGGACCGGGCGCTCGCGCGCCAAGGCAAGACGCGCGTCTAGACGCCCTCAAAAACGCGCCATGTGGGCTAGCCTTAAAAGAGCCTTAAGAGAACTGTTAGAGCCGCCGACGCAGCAAGCGTATGGTGCCAAACAAGCAGCGACAAAAACGCAACATGGGGGTGATTGTTATCCTTCTCTCTGTGTGTGCTTTCGCTAAAGTGACCTCGCACTTTAGACGTGTGCTTGTTAAATTTTTGACCATACACTGACCTATTGTGAAAGGTTATACCCTGGTCCTGTAAACAACTTGACGGAACTGACAAGTGAATTGCTTTTATTTGGCCGTCGTCTTATGTCCTCTTTTCCTCCGCAGTCCTCCTCTCCCGTCGCATTTGCACGGCGCGAATGAGCGCCGCCTAGGTAGGCCATTATTAACTTTATAAAATGATAAAAAATTAAGCCAATGAACTAAGTGCGGGGAAACGTTTCGCGAACAATTATTTAGGTGGTGCATTTGTCACACTCAAATATGAATGTAAGTTTCCGACGCAATAAGGGAAACAAAAATAACGTGTTGCTCCTACGCGCCATATAAACAAATATACACAGATCGTGTTGCAGACTCTGCTACACACGCATGACGACAGCGGTGCCCTCGTGTTAATATTAGAGTCGCTGGCAAGGCTGCGCGAACCGCCGTCCGATTCAAAATATTATGCTGCATACATCCATTCATTCATCTACATATATCTATCTATTCTTTTGAAACCCTAGAGTGCGACTGACGCGACGTTGTGCCTTCTGTGAACACTAATGCAATTTATATTTCATTCATTTGGCCCAGGAGGGACGGGAGATGAGGGTGTAAAAACTGTTTTGTTTCGCAACAAACTCCTTGGCGCCATCTATCGGGAACCTGGCACACTCCCGGTTCACGTATGTTTCCTAATTTTTTACTAATCAATATTTCATAATAAAAGTGCACCGAGACTGACTGTGCTGTTAGGTGACATTTCCAGAAACTAGCAGGTATGTTTGACTTAGCAAATATTGCAAAATCTGCCATCTAGTTCAGATCCCGAAGAGGTAAAGGGCTATTTGCATACTGGGGCCACCACGTCTCATCTCGCGCGATAAAGTACGACTAGACCGAAAGCAGGTACCAGAATGCCTGCAAACACCCGACATAATACGTCGTGTAAAACAATAACCATAAAACTACTTTTATTATTTTGCCTGGAATCCGCAATGATTTGTGGTTTTAGGCGTAATCATTGCGGATTTCAGCACGTGGCCAACGTCAATCAGCAAATTATTGGCAAATTGAGCCTTACAATTGTTTGATTGTGTTCTGTTATGTTAAAAGTTAAATCGAAGCACAGCCAATGACGCAACATGCGTCTTCCAAACTACTATATGACAGCCTCATTAGTTCGGCATTAATGATAGTCGGAAGAAGCTACAGTCGTTACAGGGGCAGTATTTCAACTGCCACACCTTAAGATAAAAAGTTACCCAGAAAACTTACGAAGGTCCTCGGAATTATTGAGACTAGTTTGGCGGGAGAATCGCCAAGTTTGCCCTCAAAGGCGTACGATTCATGTAAAAAAATAATCTTCATGATACGAGCCCTTAGTTAAAAGCAGTGCCATATTCTTTTACTGATTTTATTAACGAACATTGTCAGCAAATTCTCCGAGGATGTTTCCTTGAGGCCAGTAGTTGCAGACAACGTATGTTGTCCTGGAATAATATGAGCGGGCATAACCACATCCAACATATATGGTTGATTTCCACACCATCTGTGTGTAATGAGACGTCTCCGGGCTGAACCGCGGGTCGTGATGATTATATTGATGTATTTCGTTGAACCAGAGCTTAGTAACTTCTTTTTCTGAAAAGAAAGGAGCAATATTTATGTCTAAGATTTAGCCGTCACGCAGCTGAACTTTGATGTTTAATTTACGGAACTGATTACTTGGGAAACCTGTTTAGTAAGCACAGTATATCGGTATTTTAAGTGACCTACTGGATGATTTTATGTTTTATAATTTTGCGAATTAAAAATCAAGAGAAGCATAAAGTCGGTATAGCTATTGAATTAAGACGAAACGTAAAAGCCTGAACGACGTTTATATTAAAAATGGCGAAAAAAAAGGGACAAAAAGACGAAGAATCACAAAAACCAAACGTCTTTTTGGCCTGTCTTTTTTTTTTCTATTTAATATAAATGTCAATTACCAACTTGCCCAACAGACCAAGCCTGAACCACGAAAGAGTCAATGAAAGAAGCGAACACACACAAACTTTTGTAGAACTTAACTAGCTTAAAGAAAGATATGGATATCAATTATGATAATGAACACGAACAAACATAAACGAGTTTCTGCGAGTAGGCACACAAGCTGGACAATCGCCATAAACACGTATTAGTTCCGTGCATAGAAATTTTACATATTTTTCTGCCATTCTGGTTAGAAATGTTTATGGATGATTTCATGTCAGCGCGCTCGCCCTCTTCGCAAATGCAGTGGCCTCTAAATAAATTAAGTTTTGCATTGAGAGGAGCGTTATTACTGTAACAGAAATTCCGGCACACTTTGTTTGATGGTTAATGGAATGACTTGATTTTATGCTTAGGTAATAGCTCAAGCCAACGAGAGTGCCCTATTAAAGCAATGCAATATTTTACTTAGCTGGCATGTATTTCGTACAATCGGACTTTGTGCGACATATCATCAAAGTAAGATTACGTATTATTTCCTCTGCAGAATCCTCCATTGAGTAAAGAAATACGAGGCCGTAATATGCCATTCAACTTGCGCTTAACTGCTTATGGGTCAAACTGATATACTGCGTCTTCATTTAATACCGTACAGAAAAAAAATTAGTTCTTCTGTAGACAGGATTATAGGCTTCCAGTGCAAGAATAAAGCTCAATTGTTGAAACTTGTTATTTGTATCGTAATATATTTCATATACTGCCCGTTATGCAAAAAAGACGAATTTCTTAAGAATATACCTGTATATTAACACTTTATATTTTGTTTCACACCTGGACCTAGCTGAGTTGACGACGCTACGATCCCATGAAGTTAAACAAGCGCCGTTAAAGTGCCTCGTCACGGCGATTGTCGTATTCGTGCTTTGGCTCTCCCCAACTAAGCGACTCATGCACAGTGAATGCTGCATGATCCTGCGTTTTTCTATGGGCGTGATTGGTTCAGCCGCTGGTAGCACACACTTAAAAATGACGAGGGCAGTCATGATGCACTTTTTTTGCGCTGCTTGATTCGCTACAATGTATTGTAGCGTCGGCCTCGCTCGGACCTATTATGATGTGGCGTACAGCAGTAATTATATGTCAGCCACACCGCATTTTCTGCTCGGCTTATTTTGCACTATATGAGGCATAAAAAATTAGATGTTTCTAGTCTACAACGTCCGCTAATTCATCACCTCTAGTTAAAAACACTAAGCAAAAACGTTGCAGGTGAGGGCAAAAATAGCTAGAACAGAATCCTGGAAATCTCAGAATGAAAGCCGACGTTTTCTTGACACGCTTAGTTTTGTTGCCAAACGGTCCCGTGTAAGTTCACGACGTTTCTTCATGAGCTCAGGTAAAAAGTTATTAAACTAGTTTTGGCACATAAAATTTGCAGCAAAAGCAAGTGCTATATTACTTACCTGAAGGTACAAAATCGGGCTCAGTTAGAGTCATCCAGTAGATATTTTCGCCCATTCTATTGTCAGGGTCCGGTTGTGGCGGTCGGTGTTCAATAACATCATATTGGGCAAGCCTTTCCGCCCACAGCTGCGCCCATGCTTGTAACTGCGTCAAGAGAAAAGAGTATTGAAGAATGCACTTAAAAGTGTTTGTGTAGCAGATGAGGTTCTCATAGATAGCCCCATTTTTTTCCACAGCGATAAGCACGTTTCAGTTCAGTTCAGTTTATTTTACCTCAAAGGCATTTCAAATGAAATGCATTACATGAGAGGGGATCAAATGACATATACAGATGGCAAAAAAGTGACGACAAGGTAAATAATACGAAAACGCAAAAAGAAAACAAAAGAACTACAAACTAATTGGACAGATATCAGAACATAACATGTATAAAAAATAATTAGCAGATAAACATGTTAAGGATCAACGCTTTTCAGGTGTGTCTTGCATAGTTCACGGAATGCCTTAGGGTTAGATTCACGTACTATGGATTCAGGAAGGGAATTCCAGTTAGTAAGAGCGAGAGAAAATGGGGAATTTTGGAATTTATTAGTTCTGGCGAATAGAGGTTTAATTTTTAGGCTGTGGTCATGACGCAAGGAGATGTGAGGTGATGGGTGACAGTTGGTGTTTCGAAAATCAGAAGACGAATAGTAAGTTTTGTGAAAAAGGACAAGACGAGCAAGTTGAGATCTTTGAGATAGAGGGCATAGGTCGAGGTTGAATTTTAGTGCAGTTACGCTTGACGTTCGCGAGTAGTCGTGTGTTATAAAACGTGAGGCCTTGTTTTGCACCGATTCGAGTTTAGTAATGAGATATGATTGATGAGGCCACCAAATAAAGTTGGCGTAGTCCAATTTTGATCCGACGAAAGTCTTATAGGCAGTTAGTTTAACACAACGGGAAGTGGGGTATAGGTTACGTTTGATGTATCCTAGAGATCTGCATGCACTAGCCACTACATTGTCAATATGAGTATTCCAAGTTAGGTCATCAGAGAATGTTACGCCTAAATATTTGTAAGTTGGTACTTTTTCGAGAGGCAGTGTTAGTAAGGTGTAGTTACGTACAATAGGAGATCGCTGACCAGTGAATGTTAAAAGTTTGCTCTTGGTTACATTGACCTTCATCTGCCACGTGTTACACCAATGAGACAGAACATTTAGATCCTGCTGTAGTAGTAATGAATCTTCAGGGTTAGTGATGCGACGGTAAATTAGCAGTCATCCACGAAAAGCCTAATAGATGATGTTATCTGTTGGGGAAGATCGTTAATATATATAAGAAATAAAAGCGGACCGAGAACGCTGCCCTGGGGGACGCCCAACAGTACAGGCAGGCTTGCTGATCTGGCATGCCCAAGGTGAACAGCTTGCTTACGGTTAGTTAAGAATTCAGCTATCCAGAGTATAAGAGATGGATGGATGTTAAGTCCAGAAAGTTTGTATAGAAGTCGCTGGTGAGGAATCGTGTCAAATGCTTTAGAGAAGTGGATGAAGATGGCATCAGTGGGTTTAGAGGAGTGAAAATTGTTATGGAAATCTGTTACACACTCAAAAAGCTGGGTTTCGCATGAATATCCCGACCTGAAACCATGTTGGTTGTTACATATTAATTTATTTTCCGACAAATAGTTCATGATGTGGGAGTAGACGACATGTTCAAAAATTTTGCATGGCACACTTGTCAGCGATATAGGTCTATAATTCGAGTAGTCCTGCTTGTTTCCGGATTTAAAAATAGGTAGAACTCTCCCGAATCTCCAGTCCTCCGGGAGGGTCGCCGAGTCAAGGGTTTGTTGAAACAGTCTACAAAGAAGATAAGATGATATGTGCTTTGTTAGTTTGAGAAGTTTAGGGCAAATATTGTCGTCGCCAGGGGCTGAGCTGCGGGAGAGTTTTTCGATTGCATTCAGGATACCATTTCGGTCAAAGACAATAGGTTCACAAGAAATGTTAAGTGGTCTACAGATCGGATCACAGGGTACTGGTAAGTCTTCTACGGTGAACACGGACGAAAAATAGTTGTTAAAAACGGTAGCTGATTCAAGGTTTGTTAATACTTCGTTGAGGTCGTTGCTCAGCTTAGGGAGAGACTCATCCCTCTTTGGAGATATTGTTTTCCAAAATTTCCGAGGGTTGGTTAATAATAAATTTAGCAGGTCTTGTTTGAAGTATTTGTTCTTCGCCTTTTTTATGCTATTTTTGAATTCCTTAAAACAGTTCAAGTACTTTGACATATCAGATACCAGGTTGGTTTTTTTAGCTTTGGCAAAGAGACGCTTTTTTTATTATTTAATTTTCTGAGGGTATTCGTGAACCAGGGTTGATCAGCATTCGTTTTTAACACAATTTGAGGCACAAATCGAGACATCAACTGCCTAAATTCGTCTTTTAGTAATTTCCAGTTTGACTCCACAGATCTTTCATAAAAATGGTGTTCGTATTCTGAAACAAACTGCGTAAAAGCCTCGTTTAGAGCACATTCGTTAACCTTGCTGTATACATTGATGAGTTTAGGAATTATTTTTCTAGTTACTAATGGCAGAGACATTTCAACTAAAACAGTGTTATGATCGCTGATCCTGTCAAGAATACGAACTGACCGCACATCATCCGCACTCGAGGTGAAAACAAGGTCCAAAACAGAATGTAACCGTGTGGGTTCGTTTACGATTTGAGCGAGACCATAGCTATGCATCAGGTTAATAATGTTTGAAGCTTCTGCACCATCCGCACAAGAGGTAAGACCAATGCCCCCCTTCCAATTTACACCTGGGTAATTAAAATCCCCGCCAAAAATAATGGTACTACAGGGAAATAAAGAAAAACGTGCTAAATACAAACGTACAGTTTATCAACGAAAGTATTGTCACGACCAGGAGGGCGATAACAGGCGCCAACGATAACTGAAAAAGAAGGATGATCTAACTCGTTACCATTTTGGGCGTTCCAACACTCTAAGAAATCTGAAGAGTTTACTTTCCAGCATGGCAGCCGGGAGAGCTAATCGGTTCAAGCAAAGGAGAGAGCATGGGGAATGACGGCGCTGAAAATATGTCTTGGCAGAAATAAATAAAGCACTCTGGCAGTGGGCATGGTGAAACGTCATGCACATTGCCAGAGCGCAGACAGCTTTTGTTGGGCCTAAACATTCGCTAAACTGCCTCCGTAAGTTGGTGCGATTGACTCTTCTATACGCTTTGTGGGCAAGAAGCCACTCCAGTTTTTTAGAGTGAAGATTAAAGTCGATTTACGTTCTGCCTTAATCTCTTAAGTAATTTGCTGAATTATTTAGCGCGACGATGACTTTCATTCGCGCCTTTTGGTGGCGCCTTCGCTTTTAAAGATTTTCACGTGTCTGCGGCACAACAATCAATCACGGGACTCGAAGGGGTGAGCTCAGGTAATATTATATCATCAAAATACTCCGCTATGTAGAGAGGTTTTCTGTATGGTGTTGAGTGTCACGTTTCACATGTTCTAGGCCATCTGATTGTTGTAGCATAAGCCCTATTTTAAAGGAAGATTTTGATTTTTAAACACATAATTGGCTAAAAATAGTCATATTGCCGGCGAGTTGGTGTAATTTGAACGGTTAGGAAAAGGAAAACGTAAAGGAGAAAAGAAAGAAAAGAAAACAGGCAACGACTAAAGAAGCGACGAAGTTTTTTTCGTACACGCCTTAGATACCACGTCTGCAACACCGTCACTACAATAAGAAGAAGCTACAAAACCCAACAACAAGAGGACAAAATAGAATAAACTAGTAAAAGGAAAACAATCACACACACAGTTTTTTTTTAACAAAATAAGAAATAAACCTTCTTTTTTGTTTGTTTCTTTGTTTGCTTTGTTTAGTCAGATTTTACAGTCTCCGACAAAAGGGTAAAAGACAGATATGTTATGGATGAAGAAAGAATAAAACAATTAAAACAGGGACAACACAACCACATCTTTCATGTGGTTGTGTTGTCCCCGTTTTAATTGCTTTATTCTTTCTTCATCCATGACTTAAACCAACACACTCTTCTCCCAAGCACAGATATGTTCTGGCTGAAGTCGCCCCGTTGCCGGATGACAATGCTTAGCACAACTCCAAAAACACCAATGACAAACATTCATGAATGAACGGGGAAACAAAGACACAAACTTTGTATAGAGTAGATACAACATAGTTGAGGTAGTTGAATCTATGGCATAGAGAAGTGATTTGTAAACAACAAAATTAGAAAAGGCATACAAAGAAATGGTAAAATTGATTACACGTAAATGCTTAAATTTTTTGTTCGTTGCACGTGACAGAAGGTTCTTTTTGATTGAATTTTTATACATCTGGTTAGACCCAGAGCTTCGAATAATTTCTTGAATGTTTGCATTTTTGTTTCGTATATCTGGTATTAAATAATCCAATTTCTGAGTACCGTAAATTGTTCAGCAGCAAAGGTATTCTAAATGTGTCATGTCGGAGATTATTGCGTGATTCTACAAAGGTATGTGCCAAAAAATCAAGATTCGTCTCTTCTAATATCATTAGAGATATAGATAGAGCGTTTTATCTGAGAACCTGCACTATGTCAAGCAAATTTTGTTTAATATAATAAGGGGCTCTATGAACCACACGCTGAAGGTTTTCGATGCAATGTACTGCCCTTTATCTCCCCTAACCTCGGCTACAAAACAATTACACAAAGAGTCACAGTTCAGCATAACCGCCATCTTGCCGTCTGCTAACGCATGGGGTTCATAACTGAACACAAACCAAAGAACTGAACCTCCGAGAAAAAACCAAACAACTACTTACACTGCCCTTTCTCTAAGAAACCACAGAGTCCGAAGATACATACATACACAGTGTTAACACTTCGGAACTGCCTGCTTGTATCCGTGACCTTGCAACAACCTATAACATTCCTTACCAAAAAAAACTACAAGGGCAGATACTGTATACACTCGTTCCCAAACTGCAGACGTTGCCAAACGTTTTTCAGTCTTTGCGTTTTACTTTCCTACCCCAGTCTCAGGTTTCCCATCATATTCATAGTTGGCCGAGTATTTCGCCTAAAGTGCACCAATAGACCATAAAGATGTGCATGTCCGGTCAACTTTTAGTGTGGTCTCCTTAAATATACTTTAAGAAGTAAGTTTTCATATTTAAAAACTCTGCTTGACAAAGATGATGCTGTGGTTGTAGTTCTAAAGGAGCAATGCATTATTATATAATGTACGAGTTGATAAAGCAATTTCCGATGTGAGCAGCATAGTGAAGGATTGAAAAAACCAGCAAAACATTTTAAATATACTTACGTTGTAATTATAGCTGAGAGGTGGCGCCCCGCGTTGTTCTCTATAATAGTTGTGCCACTCAAGCATGTATCTCCCAAAGTCCGGGTCAACCTGCAAAAGTGTTTCCAGCATAAATCTTGAATATTAATTGCGCGGTATGCATGCATACCGGATCTGCGGTGACGAAATTGTAATCCTAAATGTATAAAGTAGCTTGCTGGGTCTAAACCCCGTTGCGTGGTTTGCATATGTACTGAATGTAGGCTGCATGAAGACTCTGTTGAGCCTGACGTAAATTGCGCCTCGCGGAAAATGAACTCAGGCCAGTCTCGTGCTAGAGGACAGGTCTACAGTCTTGTACTTAAACTACCCCCTCGGTTTTAATCTTTTTTTTGTTTGTTATTAAGAAGAATTATTCGTGAAAAGATCTTTACGTACAAACATATTGGGTTACTTGAGTGGAACAGCGGGGACATACACTCACACTCAAAGGCACACAAGAAGGAAACAGACTGGCGGCGTTAAGAACTCAGTGATATATATCTTCTTCCTCAAATCGTCATCTTCATTTCCCTCGCCGTTAAAGAAAACGTTTTAAATTTTTAAATACCAGAAACCAAATAGCCAATAAACATTAATAAATAAATAAATGACAAGAAAAAATAAAGTTAAAATAAATAAAAGAGATAAACAGTTATTATTTCTTAAATTACTAAAAAAATATATGAAAAAAAGTAACCTTAAAAAAATTTTAAATATAAATATGAAAATCAACGTTCCCCCTAAGTATGAATAACTAACTGCCCAAAGCATCCACATGATCAATATCGGGTTATTTCTAGGCTTCTCTATTTTCGAAGAACGCCGAATAACACCGAACATTAAGCCATACCCATATTAATCATAATGTAGGAAAACTAGATAACACATATGAATAGGAGGATCTCTCATTGAGAAGAACAATTTCAAGCTTTATGGGAGTACAATACTTATATACAGACTTATTTAGGGTTCGATCGACACACAGATCCTACTCCGCTGTCCGTATGTCTGATTCTTTTCTTCGTAACCACATATTTTACCTGGTTATCTTCTCTTACGAGACAGGGGAACGTTTTTCACGTAATCGGGCCACGCGTATCTTTTCTGTAGGTTTGAAAATGTCACGTTCTTTTCCGATTTTCTTTGACGTAGGCACCGTGATAAGTACCGATTTCTGTGGGACACCGAAAATTGATACATGAAACCCGAGCTATAATTATACGCTCCATATTACGTGATTCAGCCGCTTCATTGAAAGGCTAATGTCCCGCTTGTCACTGAAAAAAAGAAAAAGTAAAGTCTGCCCCCCCCCCCCCCCCCCCCCCTCCAGAGATGAAATATCTCTGGCCTAATGCTGGGCCTGCTAGCGGTCCGGAGGAAACGTCAAAGATGCAGAGCTAGCGGCTATCCTAATCAAAATTTTCAAATGATCTCTGACACACACTATGAAAGAACAGGACCCGTTTGTGGCATAACGCCATTCACAACCACGTGTTCGTTTCCGTTTAAAATATCTTAACTTCACTTGTAAAGGTAGGGCAAATATACAACGGTTAGTGCGGACGCTTTTGCAACGTGTTCGAACCATTACCGTTACACTTGGGCGAAGAACGATGGTTCGCCAAGTCGTATAGTTCAATTTTGCTATAAAACAAACACTCAATATTTTTTACGGGCGGGTTCGGGGGGGGGGGGGGGGGGGGGGGGAAGCGGGCACTTGGTAGTGAGGCAAATAAACAACATAACTAGTGGCGAAAGTGTAGTTCATCTCTCCAAGTTTATCATTTTATATTTATCCCCTACAACATACTGCGTATCCTAGCTAAAGGTACGTACACATTTTAAGTTGCTGAAACTGTCCTTCACGTTATCACCTGCCAAACCCTTCAGCATCCTCGGGGTTGTCTCCTCTATCTCACCTCACAGCTCTTTGCATTGCCCTTTTCATTCTCTCTGAAGGGGACGTTTTGAGTGCCTCTAACGCCTCTTTGTACCACAGAGCTTGCTAGAAAATCGACGTGTCCTCACATGTGATGATCTTTTCCAGTGATTCAGGTTCCGTTGCAAGTCGTTTTATGAAGTCACTGCAAATGAGTTTCGGGTCGCCTATCTGCTATCTTCTCCTGACTGAAGTTTTCGGGAACCATATGTTTGCGCATACTTTAATCATGCTTAATTGGGTGTGTAAAAGTTGCCATAGTGTCTCTTCATCAATGGACAGCACGTGTGCTATCTTCCAATTGTTTACCCGAAGAAGGCGGAAAACACATTTAATACTGAATTTTCAGATGAAACAGTTGCACCGCTCTATAAGTCGCTCCTACCGCCCCCTCGCCCTCTCATTTAAACCATCATTCTTTTTTAAAAGAAGTTGCAATATGAATCGCTGCAGCCGCGGAGCTCCTTGTTGTTTTTAATCAGCAGAGCAGCGCTCCTCTCTTTGTCTTTTGTCGTAAATGTCGATGCGGCTTGTTTCTTTCGGAATTAAGGTTCATTCTTGTATCAAGAAAATATTTGTATATTGCACTGTTTAATAAAACACACCTTCAAATATTAGAAAAAAAACTCTACTTTTTATTTAGTCCGGTGCGGAAAGAGGCCCGAAAATATACTTCCACTGGAAGTATATTTTATATAGAGATCATGGAAAGACTCAAACGGCAACCTCACTAACTGAAAAAGCTCGTCACGCGAGAAGATACGCCGTTTTGCTAGCACAGTCTGAAAACAGAAAGCATCAATACACAGGAAAGCTCCAAGTTTTCCGAGATGGAAAAGGGCAAGGTAAGAAGTGCGGACGAAGTAAAGTTGAAAACGACTGCGCTTTTGAAGGGATTGACGCGTGACTACATGCGGTACTGTTTCGCACCAATGAAAAAAATATTCACTACAGTGTAGGGGAGGTGAGAGTGTTCAAGCGAAGAACCGTTAAGTTTTATAATTGTAATGATCAAGCACACTTTTGCCGTCTTTTGCCTTATTTGTGAGCCATACCTCGTCGACTGGTTATTCAGTTGACAGTTTTTGTTGAAGATAAATACTTGTTTAATCACAGCTATAAAAAATGAGAAAACACTAATTCAAAAACATAATGAAACGGGCTGGTTGTTGTCCTCTGGCGCGAGTGCAGCTCACCTGGCGTTCTTGGGGCATCTGCTTCTCCGCTTGGGGTATTGTTGCTTGTGTAGTAAAAAAAGAAAAGCAAGATGTAACTGAAGTAATTTCGTGTTGGCTTACGCTTTTGATAAATAAGTTGCTTGCATCACGTCATATATTACTTGCAATGCGCGCTATTAAACTCTGCTCTGCCCTACAATTACAACGAAAAAACCTCACCCGTATCACTGAGTACAAAATTATGTATTCTATTGATTTGGTTATATTTCAGCACTGCGATTCCTTGACTGGAATTTCGTAGGTGGGTACAGTGGTAAAGAAAATACAACAAACTGGGGAAAAGGAACAATAATGAAAACAATTTGTAGTACACCAGAACAAGTACGGTACGAAAAGTAACCAATTTAAATTAGATGTCAACAATGACAACGATGGCTGCATAGCAACACTATCGGCAGGGTCATTCCACCCAGGTATTGTTCGTGGAAAAAAAAAATACCTAAAGCAATTATTACGCGATTGAAACGGAGCTATGGTTAGAGCATGTCGCTGTCAAGTTGCACATTTGAATGAGAAATTTACTGATTTAGAGATGTCTACCCTACGCTCATTAATTAACTGGTACATTAATTTTAGTCGACAGTGCCGATTTCTTTCAGACAAGGACAGTAAATTAGCTCTGGTTAGAAGTTCGAACATGGTTACAGTTGCACTCAAAAGGATCGGGACAAGGGAGAGGGACACGTCTACAGACGACAGACAAGCGCACTATTCTACGTGTTCTTTTTCTCTGTCCCTGTCGTTTTGGCGCAACTGTAAATATGTTCAATTTTTACCAACTCGCCCAAAAGTCTACATGACTACAGGTCGAGAGTTCGGTTAAGGAGGCCCATCTAAAGTTGTTATAAATAAAGCAAACAGCTATTTTTTTTCGCTCTCGATCAAGTTTAATAATGCTACTGTTAGCGAAAGGATCCCGAAGCAATTACAGCATAATCAAATGTTGGAAGGACAATAGTTTTATGTATAAGACGACGCAGGGAGGGGGGGGGGGGGCGAGAGTTGTAATGTTCTTTAAGAAAGAAGAACTGCCGCAGTTTACACCTTTACGTAATCGATTTGTGTGGTGCAAGTAAGATTATTAGTAAGCGATAGTCTGATGTACTTATATTTTGTGACTTATGGTAGAAAGTTATTATTAAGACTGTAAACAAACTATAAGGAATATTTCTGTAAATAATCATCATGGTCATTTGCCGATTTGTGCAAAATATAGCGATATTTTTAAATGTTCGGTGTAACAAAAGTTAATCCAAGGCACCATCTACTTTTGAGTAAATTGCACGCACAGTCCTCAGCATATAATTTGATTTTCACATGAAAGTCTTGTACTATGCAATTAATAAACATTAAACGAGGGGAAGGGACAAGCACTGACCCCTGGCGAACGCCAGAGTCAACAGAAAGTCGGTGAGAACACTATTCACGAAAAACTACGCACTGTTAACCATTTCGTCGTTTACCCTGAGATTGGGTTTCTTTTTTTGAAGAGCAGAAGAAACATACAAAACAGACAGGTCTCAAACTCAGCTACACGTTTATTTCAACAACTTCCTCTTATATAGTTCGTTTTCGTCGTCAACAACCAATCACATACGACTTGTCCTTTGCACCGTGACTTTACAGGTTCCACTATATCACAAAAGAAGCGGACACTCCCAACGTTTCCAAGTGAAAAGGTTCTAGCAGAAGATATGCCTCACAAAACCCCAAGCAACTCATTTGTGTCCTCACAATAAACAGGACAACAGCCCACAACAACATCCCACTCAAAACTGGTCACCTCCAAAATTGTAGAAAACAGACAATACACATCGGTACACACCACTGACAATACACACGAAAGAAGCCTTACAGGATGACTAACT